ATTATATTATATTATATTATAATTTAGTATTGTGGAAGATAGATATAATATGTTATAATTTAGTTTTGTGAAAGATAGATATAATATGTTATATTATATTATATTATAATTTAGTATTGTGGAAGATAGATATAATATATTATATTATATTATATTATAATTTAGTATTGTGGAAGATAGATATAATATATTATATTATATTATATTATAATTTAGTATTGTGGAAGATAGATATAATATGTTATAATTTAGTTTTGTGAAAGATAGATATAATATGTTATATTATATTATATTATAATTTAGTATTGTGGAAGATAGATATAATATATTATATTATATTATATTATATTATAATTTAGTATTGTGAAAGATAGATATAATATGTTATATTATATTATATTATATTATAATTTAGTATTGTGAAAGATAGATATAATATATTATATTATATTATATTATAATTTAGTATTGTGGAAGATAGATATAATATATTATATTATATTATATTATAATTTAGTATTGTGGAAGATAGATATAATATATTATATTATATTATATTATAATTTAGTATTGTGGAAGATAGATATAATATATTATATTATATTATATTATAATTTAGTATTGTGGAAGATAGATATAATATATTATATTATATTATATTATAATTTAGTATTGTGGAAGATAGGATCGCAACTAATGACAGCACTATGAGCCTCCCTAAAGACCACCATCACAAGAAGAATGCACAAGTTGTATGAAAAGGAGAGGACTACAAAAGCGACGGCGTTACAACGTGCACCAACTGTTGCTCTCACTTGAGACTACAGGACATCGCTGGGTAACCATAGTAACCTCGGAGTTACAGTGCAGTATATTGATGGACAGTGGGAGCTGTATTCACATGCTCTGTAATGAACACAGACATCTTGCTTCACAGCACACTGAGCACAGATAGTGCAAGAATTATTCTAACTGCTGATGGGAATGTCATCAGCTCTGCAGGTATTTGCTCATAAACTAAAGTCTTATTAAAATGTCAACCTGATGATGGCGCTATAGGGAAACTCAGAGGATCAATAAAATTATTCATTCATCATCCTGAGGGGAATGGGATATATTTCAGTCTGAAGTTCTGCCCTACCTCGGCCATGTTGATGACTCCCACTGCGAGGGTCTTGTAGCCCAGGATGGTTCGGTTCTTGTACCTCTTCCTCCTCTGGAGCATCACATGCAGACGGTTCACATCCCGCTTCAGGAAGTGAGGATACTGAAAGACAGAGAAATGCAATTTTAATGCGTTCAATCCTCGCTAATGATAAATGAAGTAACCAGGAGGATTCATCCTCTGAGGAGCAGGAATATGAAACAGATGAAGAGTCTGATCATTTGTGTGTGAAAGAAAAGTTTAAAAGTGCGACCTGCAGAGAGAAGGTGAGCTCCAGGTCTGTTTCCATCAGGCCGTCCGGAGGAAGAAGATACTCATTGGATCTTAAAGTTCGCTTTGAGCCCTGAGAGAGTGCAGAAAGACAGTGATAATCATCCTTTAATGATGTGTCTTCTGTTAGTACACACTGTAGTACACACTGTAGTACACACTGTAGTACACACTGTACACACTGTAGTACACACTGTAGTACACACTGTAGTACACACTGTACACACTGTAGTACACACACTGTAGTACACACACTGTAGTACACACTGTAGTACACACTGTACACACTGTAGTACACACTGTAGTACACACTGTAGTACACACTGTAGTACACACTGTACACACTGTAGTACACACTGTAGTGCACACTGTAGTACACACTGTAACACTGTAGTACACACTGTACACACTGTAGTCACACACTGTAGTACACACTGTACACACACTGTAGTACACACTGTAGTACACACTGTACACACTGTAGTACACACACACACTGTAGTACACACTGTACACACTGTAGTAACTAGTACACACTGTACACACTGTAGTACATACACACACTGTAGTACACACTGTACACACTGTAGTACACACACTGTAGTACACACTGTAGTACACACACTGTAGTACACACACTGTAGTACACACTGTACACACTGTAGTACACACACTGTAGTACACACTGTAGTACACACACTGTAGTACACACTGTACACACTGTAGTACACACACTGTAGTACACACACTGTAGTACACACTGTACACACTGTAGTACACACTGTACACACTGTAGTAACTGTAGTACACACACTGTAGTACACACTGTACACACTGTAGTACACACTGTACACACTGTAGTACACACACTGTAGTACACACTGTACACACTGTAGTACACACTGTAGTACACACTGTAGTACACACTGTACACACTGTAGTACACACTGTACACACTGTAGTACACACTGTAGTACACACTGTACACACTGTAGTACACACACTGTAGTAACTGTACACACTGTAGTACACACTGTAGTACACACTGTAGTACACACACTGTAGTAGTACACACTGTAGTACACACTACAATGTAGTACACACTGTACACACTGTACACACTGTAGTACACACACTTAGTACACACTGTAGTATACACACTTACACACTGTAGTACACACTGTACACACTGTAGTACACACACTGTAGTACACACTGTAGTACACACACTGTAGTACACACTGTACACACTGTAGTACACACACTGTAGTACACACTGTACACACTGTAGTACACACACTGTAGTACACACTGTAGTACACACACTGTAGTACACACTGTACACACTGTAGTACACACACTGTAGTACACACTTGTACACACTGTAACACACACTGTAGTACACACACTGTAGTACACTGTAGTACACACACTGTAGTACACACACTGTAGTACACACACTGTAGTACACACTGTACACACTGTAGTACACACACTGTAGTGTACACACTGTACACACACTGTAGTACACACACACTGTAGTACACACTGTAGTACACACTGTAGTACACACTGTAGTACACACACTGTAGTACACACTGTACACACACTGTACACACTGTACACACTGTAGACACACACTGTAGTACACACTGTAGTACACACTGTAGTGTACACACACTGTAGTACACACTTACACACTGTAGTACACACACTGTAGTACACACACTGTAGTACACACTGTAGTACACACTGTAGTACACACACTGTAGTACACACTGTAGTACACACTGTAGTACATGTAGTACACACTGTAGTACACACACTGTACACACTGTACTGTAGTACACACACTGTAGTACACACACTGTAGTACACACTGTAGTACACACACTGTAGTACACACACTGTAGTACACACACTGTAGTACACACTGTACACACTGTAGTACACACTGTAGTACACACACTGTAGTACACACACTGTAGTACACACTGTACACACTGACGGAGCGTTAGCACCGATACAATATTAATCAACAATGAAGCTGCTTCTACTTTCTATCTCCTGTGTGTTCTTGTGTTTCATGTGAGCGGGACATTAAACCGTCTCACTGAAAACATCCCAATCCAAACTGACTACAACAATGGAGGATGTGAACAGGAAGTATAACGTTGTCATGGATACAGTGAGTTAGCTTTGTGGTTTTTAAGCCTATTAACTCAATTTAGCACCATTAACACTCTGCTGTTAGTGGATGTACAGACAGCATCAGTGGATCACAGCTGATGTTCTCACTTGAATCTTAACAGCGATGACGACGGAGCTGAGCTCTCTGTCCAGCTCCTTCAAAACCATCAGCCTCTTCAGAGTCAGGCTGCACAACCTGGAGACCAAACATCAGAGACAATCCTGTGACATTCATTCATTCATTACATACATAAAAACAAACCCAGCTGCAGTTCCAACAGACCTTTTCTTATCGGTCTAATATTAAAGATCCAGTGTGTAACACTGTTAGAACAGTAATATAATATTCATAGAGTTCCTACAGACACCACCTTCAACAGAGTACTTGACACACGTCACCAGCGGTACGTTTTAGCCTTCATTTATCCCCCTTCCTGACAAGCTAGCAGTTAGTGAAGGTGAAGTTAGTGGAGTTATTTCAGAGAAGGTGGAGGACATCCAAGCCCAGATAATATTCTCTCCATAAAATACACACTTTTATGATCCACTGACTGCAGTTATGTGTTTGTACATTTATAATATTGGCATCCCCAGATGAGGCTAAACTAAAATTACTGAAGTGTTCAATGTTCATATGTTGAGATCTGAAGACTGATATCAGCGTCCTGAAGGAAACCTCTTTCAGTTCCACGTCCACAGACAGAGGGGAGGGTGGATCAGGTAGAGACTGCTGACCTGGTCCTCCTGGGATCTTGTTACTGGAGAATCATGCCGGGACTCGTCCTCGGCACCGAAGCTTCCTGTCAACACCAGCTGAGACGAGCTAATACGTGCTAATGCCGGCTCACCTGCATCGTGACTCCGACCTATAACGCTCTGTAGCACGCACAGAAAGAGACGACCTCTCACTTCAACAACCAACCGACTTTATTCTGGAAATATTTCTGAAATGTATCTTTACTGTAAAATGATGACTTTTCTTACTTGTTATTATGAATGTTATTTTTATTAGATTAAAAACATTCAGTGTTTATTCTTAAAATCTCATTTTACACGTTCCTGTAGGGTTGTGTATCGACCCAGTTTCCCAATACAGAGATTACAATTCAATAAACATTGAAATATACTGTAAAAACAACATATATTGTGAACTGTCATAGTGTAAAGATAGAAATATAAAGTGACATCACAATACAAATATCTGAAGATTCAGTGAATCTTTTTCTGTCATAATTTTGTTGTTTAAATGAAACCATATATTTGTTCAATAGGAGCCACAGACAGGAAGTCAGACACGGTGTTGGTTCGAGTTGACAGTAAATGTGGAATAACACCAGACTTAGCAGAACTTTGCTCGGGTAAAGAAAAGAAAAGTAGTGGTCCTATAATGGATCCATGAGGAACACCAACACCAACACCTAAACCTGAATATCTTTGGTTATATTTTATCATTATTGTTTAGTAAATAGAAAATATTAATAATGTGCAACAAATGTTGACTCTCTTTCCCATGAATGAATCCCTCTGCGGTAATCTTTGCTGTGAAGACCAACAGGTTGCTGTTTCCTGAGTTTCCTGTTTAAGAGGATTAACTCTGATTGGTCGTTAACCCCTACATGGTCACACTGCTGCTAATCCACCCGCAAACACACAAGTTAAGAGATCAGAGAGGAAACTAATCTTCAGCGGCATCATTATTCTTCCATGTGTTTCTTGTTTTTTGATTGGCTGCTGTAATGTGATGTAATCAGTGATGTCTCTCTGACCCTGTGTGATCTGTCTCTGATCTATAGTCCATTATGATGCTGCTGATCCAGGGTCAAGGGGTCAGCTCCGAGCATTCTGGGAAATGTAGTTCCTCTATACAAACTCATCAACCTTGAGTTTGAAGAATAAACAGAGAGCTGTCAGATGTGAGGGGAAGCAGAGCAGCTTCTGTCTTTATTTCTGTTCCATGATAAAAGCGTGTTTATTAATCTTTTCAATGCATTTCAGTTGAATGTGTCAGAAAGCAGGAAAAACCAAGAGAACAACAGGTTGGACCCAAATGCAGAGTACTAGCGTTCCCCTCGGAAGGTCTGTATACATAGAGACAGCAGCGATGGTTGAAGATTGAATCCAAACAGCAACATAGCCTACTCTATAACAACGACACAAGCTGGTCCGGCTGCATCAACAACATGAGACTACCAGTTTACCTGCTGTTCGCTATGTGCTGAGCTCACAGCTGTGGATGCTCTGGGATCTGGTGATGGATTATTTGCATCTTCCCGGATTATTCTCCCAAATTCTGTAACTATGCTGCTTTCTGACACCGGCGGCTTTACATCAACCCACATGGCTTCATCGATCTTTCCTGACTGTTCTATTGAGACCCTGCACAAGTACGAGCTTCTCAGTTGGGCAGAAATACGGCAGTTTCAGTCCATCTCCCGCAGGCGCGACCATGGAGTCGGCACTACCCGCCCGACAAGATCAGCAGGCTTTTGGATTACTCTACTCTTGTTCCTATCAGGTAACATCCATCCCAACCCAGGCCCAGAGCTGATTGAGCTTTTGAACCCTGGCGATTTAAAAAATAGCAGTGGCTTGCGTTTTATTCATGTCAACGTGCGCAGCCTGATTAATAAAATCGACTCTATTCGTCTGTGGGCTAAACTGACAGAAAGTGACATAATCGTCTTGTCAGAGACATGGCTCAAACCATCAATCACAAACAATATGATTCACATCGATGGGTATAATCTCTTTAGGACGGATCGTGTGAGTAAAGGAGGGGGAGTAGCCATATATGCCAAGGCGTCGTTGGACTGTTGTTCCGTCGAAACAATAACAAAGCCAAAGTTCCTTGAACTATGTGCCATCAAATTAAATCTCCCCAATGGCGCTTCTCTGACTGTGGTAGGATGCTACCGTCCACCTTCAGCTAAATCTGGAGCAACTGCCCTGCTGTCTGACTTTTTGCATAAACTGCCCAACGAGTATATTGTCCTAGGAGACCTGAACTGGGACTGGCTATCGACTTCATCAGCGTTAAAAGATCTATGTGATACGCTACATCTGACGCAACTAGTACAGTCACCTACACGCCTCAATCCAAAACGAATGGACAAGTCTACATTAATTGACGTCATTCTGACTAATACTCCACATAAGTACTCGGCTGCTGGAGTTTTCTGTAATGATGTCAGTGATCACTGTATGGTTGCCTGTGTTAGAAATTGCAAGTTGATTAAAACCAAGCCACGGTTTATTTTTAAATGAAATTACAAACGTTTTAATGAACAACCTTTCCTTCATGAAATCTATCAGTGTTTAAACTTAGTTTGTGTTATAGATGATGTTGAGCTGGCCTGGTCTTATTTTAAAAAGACCTTTTTAGCTATAGTTGACAAACATGCCCCTATTAGAAGAAATAGAGTGAAGGGCAGAGATAATCCTTGGTTTCATGACTCTATTGCAATTGCTATTAGAGAATGGAATGAAGCATGGATCAAAGAAAAAAGAAATAATAATGATAAATGTTGGTTAAATTATAGGGTATTAAGAAACAAATGCACACGACTAATTAAAAGTGCAAAAGTGAACATTATCTGAATTTAATAAATGAAAACCTTAATGACCCCAAAAAATTTTGGAAAGCAATTAAATCTTCTTCAGGTGACATGCCACCCCCCACTATCCCTGAAGTTATAATAACAAGCCAGGGTGAAGTAAGGGGTAAACAAAATATAGTAGACACTTTCAACAAGCACTTTATTAATGCAGGAATAGCTACTCAGTCAACACTCCCAGCCAACCCCACGGATAGTGTAAACTCCGTCACAGACTCGTCTAATGCAAGTTTGAGTATAGTATAGTATAGTATTTCCTTAAAACTGCTGCAAACTTGATTGCTGGTCCTATCTCCTCCATTTTCAATCTTAGTCTATACAGTGGTTCTATCCCCAAGTCATGGAAATCTGCATTTGTTCTCCCACTATAAAAAAGTGGAGACCCATTGGCCTTAGACAATTACCGGCCAATCTCCAGACTATCTGTCTTGGCTAAACTGTTTGAATATCTTATAAATGAGGAACTAAAACATTTTTTAGCTGACAGCTGTATTTTAAGTTTTACTCTTTCTGGTTTCCGACAAGGACACAGTACTATTACGGCTGTAACCTCTGTTGTAAATGATATTGTTAATGCTTTAGATAACAAAAAGTCTTGTGCTGCTCTATTCATTGACTTATCTAAAGCATTTGACAGCGTTGACCATCATCTTCTTCTGCAAAGACTGCAAAGCATAGGTTTTAGTAGCACTGTGCTAAATTGGTTTTCTAATTACCTGAGTGATAGAACTCAGTGTGTGGCATTATATAACTGTACCTCATCCTTGCTAGAAGTAAAAATGGGTGTCCCCCAAGGATCAGTCTTGGGTCCTATTTTATTTTCTATTTATATAAATAATTTAGGTATGAATCTGAATCAAACAAAGGCTCATTTTTATGCAGATGATACTATTTTGTACACCTCTGCTAAGTCATTGAAAGAAGCATTTCATCATTTACAGTCTGCCTTTAGTCAGATACAAAAATCTCGGGTAGGATTAAAATTGGTATTAAATGCTAAAAAAACAAAACAATGGTTTTTACACATTCACATTCTCCCATAGATTTCACTTTTTCGACACAAACTGGTACTCCAATAGAGATAGTAACTTCTTACAAATACCTAGGTGTTTGGTTGGATGAGAAATTGTCTTTTGGGGTCCATATTGAGAGCCTTTTAAAAAAACTCAGACCCAAGTTAGGTTTTTACTTTAGATTAAAGAAGTGCTTTCCGTATACAGCAAGGAAAAGGTTGGTGCAGAGCACATTCTTATCAGTGTTGGATTATGGTGACCTAATTTATATGCACTCTTCTTCATCTTTATTAAAAAAACTAGATGTTTTATACCACTCAGCCTTGCGTTTCATTACAGGTGCAGCAGCCAGGACTCACCACTGCATTCTGTATGAAACTGTACAATGGTCCTCCCTCTCCCTCAGAAGGAAATTCCATTTATTGATTTTCATTGCTAAAGCTCTAATGGGTAAATTACCCCTCTACATTCCAAATTTGCTTTCTTACCATAATAGTGTACCATAATACAGTGTTTACAATACTATTAGTTATTCCATCAACAAGAACAGAACTTGGTAAAACAGCTTTCTCATCATATGCACCAAATGTCTGGAATTAATTTCAAAACACCCTAAATCTAGAATCACTTCCACCACTCAATACTTTTAAAAACCTTTTAAAGTATTCTCTGACAGAACAGTGTAATTGTTTTTAATTAGGTGCCCTTTAAGTTGTATGTCTGTGTTAGGTTGCGTTAAGTGTAATGTCTTGTTTGTGTTCTAGTACGTATAGTGTATGTACAGAGATTTGTGGTGTAGTATGTAACCTTTGTCCTGTCTTTTCTATATTTTTTTGAAACTTTTTGCCGCCAGTCTTGGCCAGGACTCCCTGGGAGAAGAGTTACTGTAACTCAATGGGACTTTTCCTGGTTAAATAAAGGTTAAATAAAATAAATAAAATAATAAAAAAGACGAGTCAGTGTATTTTTTAAAGGAAAAAACGCTTTTACACATTTAATTTTCTATAAATTCTTCACAACAGTTTCTGGTTGTTATTTAAAACAGCGAGCTAAAAAAGAAAGCGAACATGAAACAGTAAAGCAGATAAGTATTGTGTTTCTTCCACTGGAAGGGAACCTTTGGGGTCACCAGTGAGTTTTGCAGCGACCGCAGTTTTTCATGCACGCTAGAAAGGTGAGGGTGAGGCGAGGTAGTTGCAATCTGGACCTAGATGCCACTTAAGCCTACACACTGGACCTGTAACCAGGAGTTCATGTTGACGGGTTAGTTGTGTTGATGTTGCTTTAAATGCTTAATAAATGATGTTACTATGTTAATGTGCTCAAATATCTTGTTTCCTCCGCAGATCAAATATATTCAGTTTACTGCGTCAGACGACGGAAGAAACCAGAAAGATTCAGCTGACAATTTTTCTTTAAAAAATGACTCAAAATGATTAGATAATAATTAATTAATTATCAGTTTCTTGCCATGCGGTTTACATCGGGCTCCTGAAGCCACCAGAGACAGCTGAATGCATACATCGGGCCCCTGAAGCCACCAGAGACAGCAGACTACATTACAGTTTATGATTACAAGTTTTTTCAAATCATTTTTTTCTTTAAATCAGTAACACTTTGTGCTCCAGATTTTTGTGTTGATTTCAGGTGAAATTTGTCAGAATCTTGATCATGTTGGATATTTGATGTTGGCCGAATTAAACAATGGAAACTTTAAATATGTAAAATATCGTTAATGTTACTCCTTCAGTCGGTGACACTCACTGCAGCACATAAAGACATTAAATTGCAAGAGTTGTGAATGGAGTCTGGTATTACGCTGCAAACAGAACATCCACTGAAGCTACTGCACATTTCAGTATTTCAAATATTGTCTAATGGTTTAATTTGAATAACTAATAATAATAATTACTATGTTCTGTTCTGAATGGAATAAAATTAAGCTCTAAAAGCTCTAATATTCAAACATTGGTTTATTTAGGTGAACTGTTCCTTAATCCTGCGAATTAAAGGAACATTTTGGCCTCAGATTTTAACGGAGATAAATGTAAGTTTATAATAAAATGTGTGTTTTTAAATCATGAAGCTTTTTCATAAATGTTTAAGATGTCACACATTCCAAACTCCATTTGAAAAACTGACATTTTTTAAATGATCTCATTGAAAATAACTGTTAGTGTCACAAAATAGGAGCCCCTGATCAACATTCTGCATAGGCCCCCAAAACGTTAGAAACGGCCCTGAAAATAGTTGATAACTAATGAATTAATCGTTGCAGTTCTAATTAACAGTATATCAAGTAATAATATTAATATTAATAATAATAATAATAATAAGATTTATTATTTCCATGGAGCTCACTGAACGCAGCGGGGGCTCCTTCCTCCTCTCACCGCGTCCAGGCGCTCCTCTCCGGCCGAACACTAATCCTCTTACCTGGGGACGCAGCTCGGAGAGGAGCGGTCGATCTCCCAGGTCGCAAACAGGTTCATCGGCACCGGGACGCGGCCGTCAGCCTCTCCCGCAGCACCGGACCCGGCGGCTGGGTCCGGGTCCGGCGGGAAAGCACTCCCCCGGACTCCTCTCTCCGCTGCCGCCGCCATCGTCGCCTCTCCGGCTCGGAAGGTCGCTGTGACGCCGGGCTGCTGATCCTCCAGTCCGGCTGGGAGAGAGAGAGCGGGGCGGGGCTGAGGGAGGGATGGATGGATGAGGAGGAACCCCGGAGAGCTTCACTGATCCAGTACCAGTGCACAGATGGAAACACTAATATTTGATTTCACTTGACAATCCAGTATGTGAATTATGACCTCAGTCTGGTTCCTTCCCCATCTGCATGAGTTTATTACTAAATTCTTTATGTGTTCACATGTTTTTATTCTCTATAGAGATACTGTATGTATTTATAATCTCTTTATATACAGATAAAGAGCTGTGTTTGTTACTAAAACATTACAAATAATATAAACCAAATGATTGACAGACAGAAATTATTGGATTACAGATTTGTTTATATATTTATTCTTGAATATATTCTTATTGAAAGACATATGCAGATGCAACATTAGTCATTCAAATTTTATTTTGAACCAACAACAAGTAGAAAGTTCAGCAGAATAAAACCTTTTTCCACAAGTGAACCTGAGTAAGAAACAGTAAAGGTCTGTCTAAAAGTATATATACTGTATATATATATGTATGTATATATAGTAGGTATATGGACCCTAAGGGAAAGGCACTAGATCCCCTGGCCTTCTTATTTGGTGTAAATTAAAGTGTAAATGAATCTGCAACTATTTTAATGATTGATGATTCATTTTAGCCCCTCAAAACTTGCCGTTTCCAGTTTCTCAAATGTGAGAATGATCTGCTCCTTCTTACACATCTACACATTTTCAGACACTTTGTGGATGTAATCATAATCAGCAGTTGCTTATTTTATATATATTTATATTTATTTCTGGCTGTCTGTCACCTTCTGAGCATCCTGTTCTTACTGTGTGCACTAACTGTAATATGGGAACTCATCAATACTCTTAATATTGTGATTAGATTACTACAGTTTTAAGAGCTAACTAGTTCATTAGTAAATGTATCAGATTACATCTTTAATGTAACCCTCCAAACCTGATTACAAACAACTGAGACAGACAGACAGACAGACAGACAGACAGACACTTTCTCCTGATTAAATAAAGAAAAGTAGTTTCCTGTATGCTATTAATAATATCATCATGCTCTCAGTTTCCTGTTTCAGAAGCACAAACCCTCTGCTGCCATCCTGTGGTCAAACTGCTGTACTGCAGCCTTCCAGTCAGCAGCCAGTTTGTTTAATATCATTCTCCTCTTTCATGCTCTGTTGTCCACTTCAGAATATAAATACATTTCAGTACTAGCACTAAACACTCTGAACACAAATGAAAATAATGAATGAATATAAACTTATGTTTTTTTGAGGGCTGCCCCAGATAAAAATGGACCATTGGACTAGTTGTTGAACGTTTCTGATATAACTGTATTGATTATAATCTGTTAAACAGCAGTAATGATTGTGAATCAGAACAACCAACAAGGAGACTGAACATTTAGTTAATTTATTCCAACACACTGTAACATCATACAGTCTGGTTGTTCAACACACAGAATAAATAACTTCCAACTTCACTCAGCGATGTGTGGGTCGTGAGTTATTATTGACTTTGCTCACGTATGCTCTGGTTCGTCCTTACTCTGCTCCTCTTCCTCCAGTATGGTGGTGAAGTCCTCGATCACGACTCTGGGCAGCACCAACGGCTGGACGTTGTTGATCTGAACATCCACCAGAGAGCTCTTTTGCATCTCAGCTCCTCGATCTGCAGGAGGAGAAGCTTGCTGATGTTTCCTGTACTGCGCCAGACTGCAGCACTTTACGACTATAGCGATCACGTTCTTGCCCATCATGATCCCAGACACTTGGGTGTCCCCGTAAATCAGCAGGTTTCCGCTGCGGATCAGAAGGGTGATGACGTTGATAGTGGCGAGACTGAGGATTGGGTAGAGCATCATTTTGTGTGGGACAATGTTCACCCCCTGCATGCTGATCTCACTCAGGGAGACGCAGGGCAGTACCAGGAGGAGGATGTAGCAGTAGAAGAACATCAGTCCCTCCACCCACAGGGGGAGCCCTTCCCTCTGAAGCTCCCACAAGTTGGCCTGAACGTCCACAACATCCAGCAGGTCCACCACCACCCAGAAGAGACGACTTCGTATCTCCTCTCTTTTTTTGTACGGCCGTAAGTACTCCAAATGATCTATGGCTGCCAGAGTTATGAACACAATGGGCATGCAGACAGACAGCAGCAGTGTGAGAGCTCTCCTGGACACGCCTACGTCTGTCTCTGCATCTACATCCTGAGACTTGTAGTTCTGATACACAAAATAGACCTTGATTTCCAGGATGAAGATGTAGAAGAACCAGAGGATCATGGCATAGCCTCGTCTGGCTGTGTGCACCTCCGACCCAGCCCAGATGGCGACATATCGCAGCACGATGAGGAAACACGCGTCCCCGGCCAGCACTGTGACACACACACCAACCCTCCTGGGACCAGGATTCTGCTCCACCAGGTAGGCGTCCATCAGCACCAGGCTGGTCATGATGAGGACTGCGGTCAGACAGATATGGCACTTGTTAGCAGGAGGTCGTGGAGGAACCATCCCTAGTCTTTAAGCAGGTGATGAAACAGATGAGATGACTATAGAAAACCACTAGATGATGCTCATGCAATAGTTAAAGCCTCAGATTGTTTGAAATGAGATCTTTATTTCTTTCAGAGCAGTGGTCGCTAACGGACTGTGAACCTATTGTGACGTCAGCCATTGGTTTGTGGAGTTTTGAACCCTCGATGGTTGAGGTAAGGTACTGCGGCTTGAGCTGCTCACTCACAATCTGGTATTCCAGATAAACAGTAAAATATGTTTGTGAACAGATTTGAGGAGAGAAATATTCAACCCAGTAACAGAATCTGGATCCATATCTGATCAGCACAGGAAAACTGAAATCCAGGATCCAAAACGTCAAAATTCCTCATCAGACTCTATATTCTTCTATGGTCAGTCACATCACATAACTCGTAAATTGAAACTTTCCATCAATACTTTCAAACTCAATTGATTATCCAACCAGGGGTCAAACTCCTGTATTTGTCTTGCCTCATGAGGTTGGTAGTTAGCTTCCAAATTCAATTTCCATTCATACTCTCATGAGTCTGCGTAACTTTAGAAATCTACAGAGGTTTGAGTTCTCCAGATCCTATTTCAGCAGATCTATGTGCTCCGAGCTTTGGGGAGCTATAAGGGAACCTGACAAGGAGCTGCTGTCCCTCTCAGCAGGTCTTCTTGGAGCTGGTGTGTAAGAAAAGTTTGCCTTATAAAAAGAGCTTCAACAAAACGTGTCCAGAGATCCAGAAGTTCCAGATGAATCTCGACTCTGCTGCTGGAAAATGCGGTTCAGGTCCAGCGTGTCGTCATCTCTTCCTGCCGCCGTTTCCTCCACAGCAGTGAACAGGAAGCTCGAACATCATCAGACCTAAACTCATGTCATCTGAATCAACTGTGAGTCTGCAGAGAGTCGATCTCTCACTGTTCAGCTGCAGGCTGTGATTTCATAATCCTCCCTCTCTCCTCCCTCTGTGAGAGAGAGAGGATGAACCACTCTCCTCCTTCCATCCAAGACTTCCATTATTATGTTCTCTGCCTCAGCAGCCTGACCTTGTTTCTGCATCCACACACACACATCTCATCTCAAAGGCAAACTTATTTTAATAAATATTAAAACATGTTTAATACATTACTGTAACGTCGGAGTGGAGGAACCAAACTACCCCTCTGTTACACCAAAGATGCTAACAACGTTAGCTTTCTGCTTACAAATATATTTGTGGGAGAAATCTGTCTGTGATTCTTTTTCTTTTCTTTTTTTGTGCTTTCTCGTCTCGTAGGTTTACAGGGATCCCGGTGGTCCTGCCTGACCCCCCCTGCTAATATTACTGATACTATTATTGTTATTGTTGTTATTAATAAAAAATAAACAATTCTGATTCTGATTATTCTTCATTGCCCATCATTGTGGCTGTTGGAGTCATTGTCATCAACATCAGTCATTTCTATTAGTATAGTTGTTGCACCTTTCTCTCCCCTCTCTCTCTCTCTCTTTCTCTCTCTCTCTCTCTGTCTCTCTCTCTTTCTCTCTCTCTCTCTCTCTCTCCCTCTCTCTCTCACTCTCTCTGTAAATAATGTTATAAGGAGACCTTGACCTGTTCTATTTGAATTGGTGCTTTGCAAATGAATTGAATTGATTCACGTGCAACAATACAGGTAATATTAACAGAGTGATGATATATGATATGTATGTATCATACAAATATATACAGTAATGTATATATCATATATACATACATATTTGTATGTATGTATGTATGATATATATATATATATATATATATATATATACATACATATAATGTATAAATATACATCTATATGTATGTATGTAAAACAGTATGGTCCAGGTATTAAAGAGATAAACAGTGCTACATTATTAGAGTTGTGCCGGTGAGAGTCTGTTACAGTCTGCTGCAGCCTGAATCCTCCTCAACCCCCCCGAGGACATCACATCATCTATGTGGGTCTGACCTGATTCTGCAGCAGCATGACCCATCTACATCTCAGTACCTGTAACAGTATATACACTGATATATTAATTGATCACTAACAGACAGATATATTGATCACTAACAGTATATACACTGATATATTGATGACTAACAGTATATACACTGATATATTGATCACTAACAGTATATAGACTGATATATTGATCAGGACTAACAGTATATACATTGATATATTGATCAGCAGTAACACTGTGAGCACTGGACTCCCTGACTGGTCCCAGACCAACAGACTGCACTGTGTGTTCTGAGCCCTTTCTATCAGAACCAGCATTAACTGTTTCAGCAGTTTGAGCTACAGTAGCTCGTCTGTTGGATCGGACCACACGTCTTCACTCCCCACCTGCATCAATGAGCCTCGGTCCCGCATGACCCTGTCTCTGGTTCTGTTCCTTGAACCACGTTTGATAGGTACTGACCTCTGCAGACCGGGAACACCCCCACTGACAGAGGTTAGTTTCATACTGTATGCTGTATTAGCTCTGCAGTGTAAGGCTATAAGGTTGTGTGTTTGTACAGTGATAATAAAGTTGTGTGTTTGTACAGTGATAATAAAGTTGTGTTTGTACAGTGATAATAAAGTTGTGTGTTTGTACAGTGATAATAAAGTTGTGTGTTTGTACAGTGATAATAAAGTTGTGTGTTTGTACAGTGATAATAAAGTTGTGTGTTTGTACAGTGTTAATAAAGTTGTGTGTTTGTACAGTGTTAATAAAGTTGTGTTTGTACAGTGTTAATAAAGTTGTGTTTGTACAGTGTTAATAAAGTTGTGTTTGTACAGTGTTAATAAAGTTGTGTTTGTACAGTGATAACAGAGCCTGTCTACGGAGAGCCTGGCCACTCCCCATTAAGTCCCATTGTACCGAATTTTGGTTGCAGTTCCAGCAGAGGTCCACTTGGGGCGATCACCCATCAGTGCAGAATGAATGGGAGCAGATGGAGCAAGACGGCTAAATTTGTCTCTTTCACCTGATTGTCGTTGAGAAATCTCAGATTTGATTGTAGTTTTTGCAAGTTCAACATGGGTAACAGTTCGAGTTCTGATGTCCTTTAGATTTCTTACAGGACGAGTTGTTGTTGCCCATCACACGCTAGCATTCTGCTAATGAACGCTGATTGGTCAGTGAAGGACTGATTACGACCAGAGATCCCGCTTGATGGCATCGTGGCATCCGAAGCGGGACCTGAATGTTAAAGCAGAGTTCTTTTTTTTAACACAGCAACTTTTTTTGTGTTGCTGGTACTTTTATCTGCCTATCGTTATGTCTGTGTTGTCGATGCCTCGAGAGAAAAGGAAGTGCAGAGCGCGGAAGCACAAAGAGACTCGAGGCTTGCCGTAAAGCAGTATCTCTGGCTGTACGATGTGTATGACGTCATTGACATTTTAAAAGACTTTTTAAAGCAAATAAGTGACTCTAAAAAATGTAACACCCAGCAATGTGTCATTTCTTTATTATAATGATATCCTGAGAAAAGTGGATTTTGAGGGTATAGCTCCATAGAGCTCCATTCATTCTGCACTCATCCTGTGAGCGCCCTCACATGGAGCCAGAGGGGAACTGCAACAGTTCAGAAGCCGGAAGTTTACCGAGAGTGGAACTTCTCCCCTTATTAGACGTTCTCTGGTGATAATCAATGTTCGCTCTGTGAAGTTAGTAATCTGCATTAATGGGACATTAAAGTGTGCAGAAAGAGAGGGAGAGAGGAGCTTAGTGCATCATGTAAAATCCCCATTACAGCTAAAGTTGATTTTACTACTGTTACTACCCCGACCATCAGAGTATTAGCAACTGTGCTACTTCTGACAAATTTGACCAGAAACTAGACAACATACGGTGAGCTAAAGACTTAATAATGTCTACTGGACTTATTATATTCCTACCACTATTACTGCTAATGCTCATTGTATTACTGTTACTATTATTATTCCTACTCATTACTGTTACAGTTCCTTTGGGTCTATTGGAACCTTTACTCTCATTTGTGCTACTATTACTGTCAGCGCTGCTGCTATCAGTTTAAATCTCCTCTGTCTGATTGACTTCTTTCCTTTCTTCCTCACCACAAATGGTAAAATGACTGTATTCGGTAACTATAACACTCAAAGCACTTTGACACTACAGCCACGGTCACCCTTTCACACACATTCACACAGTGAACAGCAAACAGAAACTAACTCATTCATTCACATTCGTTTTGTGGTTCACTGCTCAAGGACCCTTCGACATGCAGCAGGGAGGTGTGGATATATTTAAACATTTACTAGAACAACAACACTCGCTTCATCCTCCCTTCCAAAAGTGAGGAAAAAACTACAGTTGACATGAATCACGCCCAAATGGAAACATCCCTATCTAGAGCCAGTGTTCGGTTTGTCCATTCTGGGCTACTGTAGAAACATGGCGGTTCAACATGGTGAATGAAAACACAATGACTCTGATTTTCAGGTGATTTGACAATAATGAAAACATACCCATTAATATTATATAGACATATGTATGTAGACAATAGGTCCTCCTAACAGTTGCACCCTGGACCTTTAAATGACTGTAACACAGTGTTACGAGTGTTGATCACTCATCAATACAGACTGTTTTTTAGAAAAGCAGGGATACTCGCAGCAGAGAAGTGCACACTCTGATCTCAATGACCCAACTTTTATCTAGGGTAAGCTTTTTATGGGAAGAGCCCATTAAAAACGTATGAGGATGTTCTGGAAATGCATATGGATGAATCAAATTAGCCCAATTACTGGGTGCTGCTGACTCCCGCTTGGTGGTGTGTTCAAGGAGACATCAGATGTTCGTTCAAGCTGCAGCTATTTGTTCTCTCTTTTCTCACTTGGCCACTGCTGTTGCTTGAGATGCAGTGACATGAGGGGAAAACTGGCTCCAGATCTGAGCTGCAAATTTGTGATTTAACAGGTCAAAACTGAACTCTGTGAAACTAACTGGTAGTTTTGAAGAATGCGTTGGACATGACACATCACATACTGGTGATTTTAATATTTCTGGAGCTTGACGGTGGCACAAGGGGAAAGATCATGGGGTCACTAAAATCGAAAAATGTTCATCAGCTGTGGAGCAGAGATGCAATATGACATCCCATATCCCAATATAGGTCATTTCATATTCAGATTACGATAAATATCACGATATAGCAAAGTTTCTGTAAATTCAATGAATAAAATAGTTTATAGAACGTGACCATGGAAAGGCCTGTGTGTTGTTAGGTTTTGAATTATACACAGTTATAACTTATATTTGAGTATTTTTCTCTTCGTACTGTTTGATGGGATTCTTGCGCAGGTAGTAAAAGAGGTTAGTGTTTGATTTTTGGTCTGTTTCAGACTGTCAGCAAATCAATATTCAGGGTAATGCCCGTTGGACTTTTGTTCCAAAAGATGCACAAATATGTAGCATTTATGGCTTTTTGTGGCAGTAAAGGAAATTCATTTCAGCAGACAGTTAAAGTCGACTAACTGAACTACACACGTTTTAGGTGTTAAACTTTCCCTCAGAGCCTGCAGATTCAAACTGATCTCCTGAAGATTTTCACATTAGAGGTGGTGTTTGGCTGTAATCTGTGTTAAAGTTTAAGCAATAGACATCATTAAAGCAGAGAAACATTATTTAATAAAAACACATTTTTTAGTGTACAAGTGTAATTAAATATAATTCAGTGTTTATTACATTCAAACTGGCAAAAGCAAAAGCAAATGTAATTTATTCAATTCCCTGATTGGACTGGTGAATTAAACATTAGCATGCTATTTATACCAGTAAAGATTAGCAGCTGTGTTCACGGCTGTGTTCACCGGAAGAAATGTGGTTCATTGAGGCTACAGGGCGAGAGCCTCACATCTGCCTCAAGCTATTTTTTTCTGATGCAAGAAGTCCACATTCCTACGCTTAACTTCAAAGCCGGAAAGAGAAAAAGAGATGGCTATTAGCATAGATTAGCATATACCTACAGATGCACTCCACTTTCCAGCAGCTGTTAGTTTAAACTCTCCACAAAGGGTTGGGAGGTGTCTCAAAAGAAGGGTTTTCCATCCAATCCTTCATGGAGTATAAAGACGTTTACATTAAGGATCTAGTGTGGCAGGGGGTCATGTGACCAAAAGTTGCTTGGCGCCATCCTGGATCCAATTTTATCTATGTTTACAACCTCTTCATTCTATTATTCTGTTTCCTGTTTGTCCGTCCGAGAACGTTCAACCTGCCAAAGAGAATGACAATGCCCATCGTCCCCTCTTCCATCACCATCTGGTACACTGTTGCCACTGCCAAGGACGAGGTCAGACTGCAGCGTATCATTTGTTCTGGCGAGAAGTTGTTTGCCTGCAATCTACCATCCCTTCACCTCCAGGACCCTGAAGTGAGCAGGAAATATTGTGGCTGACCCCTCCCACCCTGTACACCTTCATATTTGCTCTGTTTATTGGTATGCACATATATACTAGGGATGTGAATCCCCACCACTGAGGCCGATTCGATACACATCTCGATACGCTGCCAGCGATACGATACATTAACGATACAGTGGAGCCCCCTGCCGATACGATGCGATACGATTCACCTCTGTTCACGATACGATGCGATTCATTAATGATTTGAGAACGATTTGACTTTATACAATGCGATTCGGTTTGATACGATTCATGATGCGATTCAAAACGATTCAACACAATACAAAGAATTTACAAGCCCACATCTGGTTTCTGTATTTGATACTTGATTGTTTTCTATAAAGCAAACCAATAAATCCAACTTAAAAAGAAGATGCAATTCAATATGGTACAGACAGAGGATTGTTTTATTCCTAATAAACACTAAATCATAAACAAAAAATATTTCTTTCATTACATGTGTTTTTAATCTCATTCTCTACTTATACAATAGTTAATGTATTGTATTCGGGCAATTTCTTTTTGGCCTCTTAATAAAAAAACAAAACAGTCCTTTTCTCAGGTCCTTTTACTAATAGTGTTCTCGGTCTGTAATTTCACAATGTTTTACAAAACACTTATAAAACTTCCCAACATCAACAATGTGTATTGTGCAAATAACTTCATCATAGTGCAATGCCCATACTACTGCCTGCCAGACTGATGTGCTTGAGCTTAACACTCTTCTAGTTGGCTAACTGAGCAGTGAGAGCAGAAATCATTGAGATTTATACAACAATATAACAGTTAAACAAAAATAAACAATTGCAAGTGCTTACAAATGTAAGTGTCTCCTCTTCACCTGTTGTGTCGCTTCCCTCACTAACTGCGTCTGCGGTGCCACCCAAAAAGATAGTGATGGTGCATTCGAGGCACCTCGAAAACACGGGTGCAGAGGAGATAAACTATGTAATAATCGATGTAACCATGGGTTTTACCGATGCAGACACGCAAAGAAAGATACATTGCGCATTTAGCCTGCAGTTGTATCCGATGCACACTGAAGCTACCGGTGCACTCGCATCGCAAAGATCTGTCTCGGACCACCGATTCAAATCGGTAAATCTCTCTATCCCTACTATATACCTATTCCTTGTATGTTAAACACATTTACTTACTTAATTAATCCCTGTATTTCAAATCATGGACATGCAGCCCATTCACCAACAACAAAAAAAAGTTTTCTCATCATTTTCAGTGAGTATGACTTATAAAAAAGAGTGTGTCTGTGTTTGTCAGCAGTGAGTGTTTTTTTTACTAAGGAAGAGCCTCCTCCTCCTACAGTGAACACAGAGACACCGAGGAACCAGATGACAACAACCAGAAACAAAACCCAGGATAAAGAGGTTCAGTGAATGTGGTGTCGAAGGTGTGGAGGTGGATCAGTGTGTCAGAGGAGACTGTGTAGAAGGACAGAGTGCCAGCAGGACAGTCCACATACACTGCTACTCTGTTAGAGACAGAGGAGGAGGAGGAGGAGAGGCGGGTTCTTCTGTCATTGTGACAGACAGTAAAACCATCAACATCAGAGCACAAAAGACTCCAGGACTGATTATTTCCTCCAAACCAGCAGTCAGTACTAAGTCCTTTCCTTCTGATTCCTCTGTAACTCACTGATATATGAACCCCTACTCTCCACTCGACCTCCCAGTAAGAGCGACCAGTCAGACCATTTCTACACAACAGCTGTTCCCAGTAGTCAAATCTCTCTGGATGATCAGGATATGGCTGTTCTTCTTTCACTAATGTCACCTTCCTGTTGTTGTCAGACAGTTTGAGGAATCTGTTCACCGTGTTTGTGTCCACTGTGAGTTCACAGGAATCTGATGGAGAGAACAAGATACAACACATTAGCAGTTTATTAGAGGCGCTGACGCTTGTGGTTCTTGTCTTCAGTCAACAGAGTCAAGTGAAAACTTGTCATCTTTCAAACTAATAGTTGAATGCAGAAACACAAGCTTTTGATTTAAACTACTTTAACATGTTTTCATGAATCAAAGTGAACACACACTTACACTTCCTCAGACCAGGTTTCAGCCACTGTTCTCCACAGTGTTCCACCCTGGAGGAAGAAACAAAGTCAGAATGAACCTTCAGAAGCTTCCTCATCAATGATCTCTGTAAACCTTCACTCAGATCCAACATTAAGACAAACAGCTGCATTTACTCATTATCATACATTTTGTCTTGGATTTAAAAGTATTAAGCCAAAAAAATTGGAGCAACCTCAGAAAGAGCAACAGAGAAAGGATCCTTCTTCCGAACAGACCAAGTGTGAACTTATTGTGACATCACCCATTGGTTTGTGGAGTATTCTTTTGAAGCCTTGAGTGACAGTTAAACAGAGCCAGCGGACGTGATGTACTACTGATCTGCTGTCAATGACTACACAGTTTTGACTTGTCCGTTGCCGGAAATAATGACAGCTCCCTTGGTCAGACACGATCTTGTATAACGCAGAAACAGTACACTAAAATATGTTTCTGAAACAATTTTAGGTGATAAATAGGCAACGCAGGAACGTAATCTTGCCTCGTATTTGATCAGCACTGCCTAGTTTGACAGGTTGACCTGAGTTTTGTGCGTTGCGCTGGACAGACTTAATGAAAATGAGCTGTCTATCAAAATGTAGCCCCGCCCCAAAAGCATACACAGCTTTATCGTCTATTTTACTCTAAATGGGACCATAATTTACCAAATGAACATCCATGCTGTATGGAAGAAAATGTTAATCTAGTGACTAAGACCCTAAAAAACTGTTAACTGAGCTCATAAATGAAGTGCCAAGTCAGCTCATTCTCCATTGGAGTGAATGGGATCGCTTTGTTATTGAAGCCAATGGAGCTCCCCCTGCTGGCCTTTACATAGAATGCAGGTTTTAAAACACTTCTGCTTTGGTTTCACTTTTCAGACCCGGAAGCTGGGACAGACACGTAATTTGTGTACAGAATTGACCGAAATAAGTTTTAAAGGTCCAGTGTTTAGGATTTAGTGGCATCTAGCGGTGTGGTTGCAGATTACAACTCAATCAGGTAGCCAGCTTTCAAAAAATGTTGTTTGGGATCCTTCCAACCCTTCTACTATTTGATATCACATATATTTTTCTTCCTGTCTCTGCTTTCGATGTCATTGATAAGTTCAGCCATCCTTTGCAGCTCCTCCTCCAGCTTTTCGTCAATGTTGAAATCTTATCTCTTAATTTCTTGAATCGCTCCATGAATGGCAGGGTCAAGTGCATTGCTCTTGCTAGCAACCGCCAGCACCTGGTGGAAAGCTGGGTGATCTCACGGTGCATTTGCTCTTGCTTGATTTCTTATTATTTTACAGCATAGTGTCAGAACACCTAAAAAATACTAACCAATGTTCATATAAATTCAGTTCAATTCAATTCAATTCAATTCTATTTGTATAGCGCCAATTCATAACAGAAGTTATCTCAGGACACTTTTCAAATAGAGCAGGTCTAGACCGAACTCCTTATAACATTATTTACAGACACCCAACAGTACCACCATGAGCAAGCACTTGGCAACAAGGGCAAGGAAAAACTGCCTGTTAAAAGGCAGAAACCTAGGACAGATCCTTCAGCTGTAGGTGGGTGGTCGTCTGCCTTGACCAGTTGGGGTAAGAGAGAGAGAGAGAGACAGACAGACAGACAGACAGACAGACAGACAGACAGACAGACGCACAGCAACAACAGTATTGGCTATGGCAATCTAGCAGGACCATGGCAGGAGGCTCCACCAGGATCGATAAGAACCTGCGAGACGAGAAAGCACAAGAACTCCGGGGAAGAAGTGAAGTTAGTAACATGCATTAATGGGACATGAAGGAGTGCAGAAAGAGAGAGGAAGAGAGGAGCTCAGTGCACCATGGGAAATCCCCCGATAGTCTAGGCCTATAGCAGCATAACTAAGGGATGGTTCAGGACTCACCTGATTCAATTCAATTCAATTCAATTTTATTTGTATAGCGCCAATTCGTATAGCGACCGAACTCCTTATAACATTATTTACAGACACCCAACAGTACCACCATGAGCAAGCACTTGGCGACAAGGGCAAGGAAAAACTGCCTGTTAAAAGGCAGAAACCTAGGACAGATCCTCCGGCTCTAGGTGGGCGGTCGTCTGTCTCGACCAGTTGGGGTGAGAGAGAGAGAGAGAGAGAGAGAGAGAGAGAGAGAGAGAGAGAGAGAGCGACAGACAGACAGACAGGTGCACAGCAACAACAGTATTGGCAATGGCAGTCAAGCAGGACCATGGCAGGAGGCTCCACCAGGATCCATGAGAACCTGCGAGACGAGAAAGCACAAGAACTCCGGGGAAGAAGTGGAGTTAGTAACATGCATTAAAGGGACATGAATGAGTGCAGAAAGAGAGAGGAAGAGAGTAGCTCAGTGCACCATGGGAAATCCCCCGATAGTCTAGGCCTATAGCAGCATAACTAAGGGATGGTTCAGGACTCACCTGATCCAGCCCTAACTATAAGCTTTATCAAAGAGGAATGTCTTAAGCCTACTCTTGAATGTGGAGAGGGTGTCTGCCTCCCGAACCACAACTGGAATCTGGTTCCACAGGAGAGGAGCTTGGTAACTGAAGGCTCTGGCTCCTGTTCTACTTTTAGAGACTATAGGAACCACAAGTAGCCCAGCATTCAGAGAACGCAGTGTTCTAGAGGGGTAATAGGGTACTATGAGCTCTTTAAGATATGAAGGGGCCTGACCATGAAGAGCTTTATAGGTGAGGAGGAGGATTTTTAATTCTATTCTACATTTTACAGGGAGCCAATGCAGAGAAGCTACTACAGGAGAGATGTGATCTCTTTTTCTAGTTCCTGTCAGTACTCGTGCTGCAGTGTTCTGAATTAATTGGAGCGTTTTAATGGACTTATTGGGGCAACCTGATAATAAAGAGTTGCAGTAATCCAGCCTTGAAGTAACAAATGCATGGATTAGTTTTTCTGCATCTGTCTGTGATAGGATGTGTCTAATTTTTCTAATATTACGTAAATGAAAGAAGGCAGTCCTGGAGGTCTGCTTCATGTGGGAGTTAAATGACAAATCCTGATCAAAGATAACTCCAAGATTCCTGACAGTGGTGCTAGAGGCCAAGGTAATGCCATCTAGAGTAACTATATCTTTAGACAGTGAGTCTCTAAGGTTTTTTTCCCCGTTTTTTTCTGAGTTTAATATCACAAAATTGCAACTCATCCAGGATTTTATGTCCTTAAGACATGTTTGTAACTTAGATAATTGATTAATTTCATTGGGCTTGATCGATAGATATAACTGCGTATCATCTGCATAACAGTGAGAGTTAATGGAGTGATTCCTAATAATGTTGCCTAAAGAGAGCATATATAAAGTAAATAGTATTGGTCCAAGTACAGAACCTTGTGGAACTCCATGACTAACTGTAGTATTTATTGAAGATTCATCGTTAACATGTACAAACTGCGAACGATTTGATAAATATGACTTAAACCAGCTTAGTGCGGTTCCTTTAATGCCAATTTGATGCTCAAGTCTCTGTAAAAGAATATTATGGTCAATGGTGTCAAATGCAGCACTAAGATCTAATAATACAAGTACAGAGACAAGTCCATTGTCAAAAGCAATCAGAAGGTCATTACTAACTTTAACCAGAGCTGTCTCTGTGCTGTGATGAACTTTAAATCCTGACTGAAAATCCTCAAATAAACTATTGTTATGTAGAAAGTCACACAACTCTTTGGCGACTACTTTCTCCAGAATCTTAGAGAGGAAGGGGAGGTTAGAAATCGGTCTATAGTTGGCTAAAACCCCTGGGTCAAGAGTGGGCTTTTTAAGAAGGGGTTTAATTACAGCTACTTTAAAGGACTGTGGTACATATCCTGATAATAAAGAAAGATTAATCATATCCAGTAAAGAAGAGCCAATTAAGGGAACAACTTCTTTAAGCAGCCTAGTTGGGATCGGGTCTAATAGACAGGTTGATGGCTTCGATGAAGAAATGATTGAAGTTAACTGATGAAGATTGATAGCAGAAAAATAGCCTAAATATATATCGAAGTTTACATTAGTACAAGTCCATGAACTTGGAGAGCCACTGATAACTGTTGATGGCAGTTGGTGATTAATTTTCTCTCTAATAGTAATAATTTTATTATAGAAGAAGCTCATGAAGTCATTGCTACTTAAGTTTAAGGGGATATGTGGCTCAATAGAGCTGTGACTCTCTGTCAGCCTGGCTACAGTGCTGAAGAGGAACCTAGGGTTATTCTTATTTTCTTCTATTAGTGCTGAGTAATAGGCTCCTCTGGCATTACGGAGGGCCTTTCTATAAGTTTTAAGATTATCTTGCCAAATTGAGCGATATTCTGATCATTTGGAAGAGCGCCATTTCCTTTCAGATTTCCTAGCCATCTGCTTTAACTGGTGGGTTTGGTGGTTGTACCACGGTGCTAGTCTCCCATGTCTCAATAATTTCCTTTTTATAGGAGCGATAGAGTCTAATGTTGATCGTAGTGAGCCTGCAGCACTATCAACAAGATTATCAATTTCAGACGGACTAAAGTTATATGTTATAGGACTCTGTTAAAAGTCGAATTAAACACTGAAGGAATCTCCTTCTTAAATTTAGCTACAGCACTGTCAGATAGATATCTGCTGTAGGAAGTTTTGCCTAATGGCTTATAATCTAATAGTATGAATTCAAAAGTTATTAAATAATGGTCAGATAGGAAAGGATTATGTGGGAAGACTATTAAATGTTCAATATCAATGCCATATGATAAAACAAGGTCAAGAGTGTGATTAAAACAATGAGTTGATTTATTTACACTCTGACAGAAGCCAATTGAGTCTATTATTAATATAAATGCATTACTAAGGCTGTCATTGTTAACATCCACATGAATATTAAAATCACCTACAATAATTACTTTATCTGATTTAAGGACTAAACTTGATAAAAACTCTGAGAATTCAGATATAAAATCAGAGTACGGTCCAGGAGCGCGGTACACTATAACAAATAGAACTGGCTGCAGTGTTTTCCAGTTTGGGTGAGAAAGACTTAGAACAAGGCTTTCAAATGAATTATAATTTAGTTTAGGTTTAGGGTCCATTAAAACGCTCAAATCATATATGGCTGCTACTCCACCTCCTCGGCCAGTGCCTCGAGGAAGGTGAGTATTAATATGACTGGGGGAGGGGGGTGGATTCATTAAGGCAACATACTCCTCGTGGGACAACCAGGTCTCAGTAAGACAAAGTAAATCAATATCATAATCTGATATTAATTCATTCACTAAAACAGCTTTTGAAGACAGAGACCTGATATTTAACAGTCCACATTTCATTCTTTTATTTTGTGCTACTGAGGAGTTGGTTTTAATTTTTATTAGATTTTTATGTTGAACTCCTCTTGTTTTTATTTCTTTAAATAATTTAGGTGGTCGGGGGACAGACACAGTCTCTATGAGGGTTTTGGGTGGGTGACTGTTCTAAAGAAAGCGCAGAGAAGTGTGTAAGACAGCAGCTCTGCTTCCTGGTCCCAACTCTGGACTCTTAGGTTTTAGAAATAAACTTCGCCATATTTCTAGATAAGAGAGCCGCTCCATCCAAAGTGGGATGGATGCCGTTTCTCCTAACCAGACCAGGTTTTCCCCAAAAATCAATGAAGGCCACATCGTTTGCTGGACACCACATCGACAGCCAGTGGTGGAAGTCTGACTTGCGGCTATACATGTCATCCCTGGTCACATTGGGCAGGGGTCCAGAGAAAACTACGGAGTCCGACATAGTTTTAGCATAGTTACACACCGACTCCACATTAATTTTAGTGACCTCCGATTGGCGTAAACGGGTGTCATTACCGCCGACGTGGATAACAATCTTACTGTATTTATGTTTATCTTTAGCCGGCAGTTTTAAATATGATTTAATGTCGCCCGCTCTGGCCCCAGGGATACATTTAACTATGGCCGCTGGCTTCGCTAACTTCACGTTTCTGACTATGGAGCTGCCAATAATCAGAGTTGGTTCCTCAGCGGGTGTGTCGCTGAGTGGGGAAAATGTATTAGAAACATGAATGGGTTGGTGGTGAACTGTGGGCTTCGGCGTTTTATTCTGACTCCGTTCAGTCACCCAGCCTCCCTGTCTTCCCGGCTGCTCGGGGTCTACCGGGGGAACTACCAGGGGACGGCTAGCAGAAGCTACCTTCGGTCGGACTACTGGGGGCTGGCTAACTATAGCGGCTAAAGATATCTCTGTGGTGCTATGAAGCTATCGTCAGTGAAAACTTTTGAAAATAGCGAAAAGTCGCTAAAAGAAGGAGTAACTCCAAGTGCTTAGGTAGAACTAGTCTACGTTTAATCGTTAAGCTGGAAAATAACCGCTGTAACGAGTCAAACAAATTTATATTTAGCGTTCACTGACAGAGCTACAGCAACAAACAGTGTACACAGAGCAGGAAGTAAACCGGACATGAGTCAGTACGCTGTGACCGTGTGACAGTGACGTGCTACGGTAAGTAGCACGTCACTGTCACAAGCAAGAACAGCCACACCTAGTGGCTCAATGATCAAACTGGGATCACTGTAAATTAACTATCACTATGCCTGATGCAAAACCACCAGACAGATATATCAGGGACTAAAAATAACTGAAACAATTATGTTGTGGTGCAAAGCTAAGTAATGTGGGCCATCTGTTATCTGTCATCTTGAGAAACCCCAAGACATGTTAATGCCAAGTATGAACCTCGGTGCGCCATCAGCTGGAATAGACTATGAACAGTCCTCAGATAGTCAGCATGACAGAAACACTGTGTGAGCTCTGATTGTCTGTTCATACCTGAGAGTGTCAAGTCTCCAGTGTGGATCCTCTAGTCCAGCAGACAGCAGCTTCACTCCTGAGTCTCCTGGATGATTGTAGTTCAGGTCTAGCTCTCTCAGATGGGAGGGGTTGGATCTCAGAGCTGAGGCCAGAGAAGTACAGCCTTCCTCTGTGATCATACAGCCTGACAGCCTGGAGACAGACAGAGACATGCAAACACTATGATATTTCATACATTTTCATATATTCCTTCCTTTCCAGTATAAATTCACAGATTAAAGCTAGTCTAATGTTACATTTTATCATCAGTCCACTGCATTGAAATTAATCAGCTTGCTTGAAAAGTGATTTTAATATGTATAAATACATTGTTTGTATTTGAGGACAAAGCATACTCATTATAGACTTTATATTATATTGTTTGTCTGTGTTTACAAATGTGCTCACACTTCATTTGGTTCCACTTTCAAATGGTTATGGAGTAGAGGGCAGGGCTGAATATATGTCCCAAGTTAGAGAAATTAATAATTCGTAGGGAGAGAGTAAGTGTGGGTGTGTGCGGTAAAAGAAGCTGGTCACAGCATCAACACACTTAGGCAAGACCCTTGACAGCCAGCCTTTACTTTTCCAAATGGACTGTAGCCACTCTTCAAAGAATGCTCAAAGATAAAGGAATCCCTTTTCACATAACAGACACAAAGCAAAAACATTTCAACATTTGCATATCAGCCTGTCATCCACCACAGTTGTCTTCCGGGTCTTTTGGTTTTGCTGAGCTCACCGGTGCATTCTTTCTTTTTAAGAATGTCCAAACATTTGATTTGGCCACACCTAATGTTTTTGCTATCTCTCTGATGGGTTTGTTTTGATTTTTCAGCCTAATGATGGCTTGCTTCACTGATAGTGACAGCTCTTTGGATCTCATATTGAGAGTTGACAGCAACAGATTCCAAATGCAAATAGCACACTTGAAATGAACTCTAGCCCTTTTATCTGCTCCTTGTAAATGGGATAATGAGGGAATAACACACACCTGGCCATGGAACAGCTGAGCAGCCAATTGTCCCATTAATTTTGGTCCCTTAAAAAGTGGGAGGCACATATACAAACTGTTGTAATTCCTACACCGTTCACCTGATTTGGATGTAAATACCCTCAAATTAAAGCTGAAAGTCTGCAGTTAAAGCACATCTTGTTTGTTTCATTTCAAATCCATTGTGGTGGTGTATAGAGCCAAAAAGATTAGAATTGTGTCGATGTCCTTATATTTATGGACCTGACTGTATGTGGTATGTTAAATGAATGTGAAAATTAACAATTTCCTAATCCTAAGGCACTCTTGATAATCTTTCAAGGCACACACTAGCATGCCATGGCATACTGGTTGAGAAACACTGTCCTAGGCTATGGGTCCCTGGACTTTACTTTGAGAAGTAGCTCACCTACTTTGAGGTTTGTTCTGAGGTTGCCACACATAATTTGTGTATACTCTGTGCTGTGTCTTCTGATTCAATTCAATTCAATTCAATTTTGTATTTATAGCACCAATTCATAACATAAGTTATCTCAGGACACTTTTCAAATAGAGCAGGTCTAGACCGAACTCTTTAAAACATTAATTACAGAGACCCAGCAGTACCACCATGAGCAAGACCTTGGAGACAAGGGCAAGAAAACACTGCCTGTTAAAAGGCAGAAACCTAGGACAGATCCTTCGGCTCTAGGTGGGTGGTCGTCTGTCTCGACCAGTTGGGGTGAGACAGAGAGAGAGAGAGAAAGAGAGAGAGACACAGAGAGAGAGAGTGCGAGAGAGAGACAGACAGACAGGTGCACAGCAACAACAGTATTGGCTATGGCAATCTAGCAGGACCATGGCAGGAGGCTCCACCAGGATCGATAAGAACCTGCGAGACGAGAAAGCACAAGAACTCCTGGGAAGAAGTGAAGTTAGTAACATGCATTAACGGAACATGAATGAGTGCAGAAAGAGAGAGGAAGGGAAGATCTCAGTGCTCCATGGAAAATCCCCCGATACTAGGCCTATAGCAGCATAACTAAGGGATGGTTCAGGACCCACCTGATCCAGCCCTAACTATAAGCTTTATCAAAGAGGAATGTCTTAAGCCTACTCTTGAATGAGCTTGGTAGCTGAAGGCTCTGGCTCCTGTTCTACTTTTAGAGACTATAGGAACCACAAGTAGCCCAGCATTCAGAGAACGTAGTGTTCTAGTGGTGTAATAGGGTACTATGAGCTCTTTAAGATATGAAGGGGCCTGACCATGAAGAGCTTTAAAGGTGAGGAGGAAGATTTTAAATTCTATTCTACTTTTTACAGGGAGCCAATGCAGAGAAGCTAGTACAGGAGAGATCTCTTTTTCTAGTTCCTGTCAGTACTCGTGCGGGTGTCATTACCGCCGACGTGGATAACAATCTTACCATATTTACGATTATCTTTAGCCAGCAGTTTTAAATATGATTCAATGTCGCCCGCTCTGGCCCCAGGGATACATTTAACTATGGCCGCTGGCTTCTCTAACCTCACGTTTCTGACTATGGAGCTGCCAATAATCAGAGTTGGTTCCTCAGTGGGTGTGTCGCTGAGTGGGGAAAATGTATTAGAAACGTGAATAGGTTGATGATGAACTGTGGGCTTCGCCGTTTTAGTCTTCCTTCGCTCATTCACCCTCCCTGTCTTCCCGGCTGCTCGGGAACTACCGGCTACTGGGGGCTGGCTAACTATAGCGGCTAAAGATATCTCCGTGGTGCGGTACCGTTCCTTTAACTCACTAAGCCTCGCCTCCAGTGCAGTAAATAAACTACACTTAATACGTGTACCATTATCTTTAAAGGAGGCAGAGGCATAACTGAACATCTGGCACACTGAGCAGGACAGAGGAGAGGGAGAGGGAGAAGCCATAGCTAACTGCTAATGTTACTGAAGCTAGCGTGTATGAAAAACTTTGAAAATAGCGAAAAGTCGCTAAAAGAAGAGTAACTCCGAGTGCTTAGGTAGAGCTAGTCTACATTTAAATGTTAAGCGGGAAAATAACCGCTGTAACGAGTAAAACAAATTTATATTTAGCGTTCACTGACAGAGCTACAGCACCAAACAGTGTACACAGAGCAGGAAGTAAACCGGAAATGAGTCAGTACGCTTACCGTAGCACGTCACAACACAGAGCTAACCGCAGTGATATCTGATCAGATATTAAAGCGAGTCAGTACAAACAAACAAAGTTGTACTTATTCCCTCACCCAATGAGAATCGATAAGGAATCGGATCGATAAGCAATATCAATAATGGAATTGGAATCGTTAAATTCTTAACAATTCCCATCCCTAACCATCAGTAAAATTTGTCGTCAGGAACATTGAATTAAATTCTCAAAGACAGTCATTCCTTTTTTTTAACAGATATTAACCTGTGTCAAGCAACATTTGAATCTGTTGAAGCTGAATCCTGACCTGAGAGTCTCCAGTTTACAATGTGAACTCTTCAGTCCTGCAGACAGCAGCTTCACTCCTGAATTCTGCAGGTCGTTGTTACTCAGGTCCAGCTCTCTCAGACTAGAGGACTGGGAGCTGAGACCTACAGACAGAGCTTCACAACTTCTCTCTGACAGATTACAGACATTCAACCTGAAGAAGAGGCAGTGATTAAGACAAGATTGAAACTCATCTACAGTATACAATATAAAGCACAACACATTTCTTATCAAACAATCAAGCATTAGGGTCTTAATTAATGGAAATTTAAACAATTATAGTGTTTAGGTGTTTGAACTTATCATTTCCTTTACAAGATCTTGTGACTACCAATTTACTATTACTTGAACTAGTTCAAGAAACAACCCTAAGTGTGATACAGTTAGTGTCTGCAGATATCTGTGCACTTACAGAGCTTTGTTGGAGGCTTTGACCACTGGCAGCAGCCTCAGAAGAGCCTCTTCTGAAGCAGAGTATTTCTTCAGGTCAAACACATCCAGATCTGTTTCTGATGACAGTAAGATGAAGACCAGAGCTGACCACTGAGCAGGAGACAGTTCATCTGTGGAGAGACGTCCTGAACTCAGGTACTGTTGGATCTCCTCCACTAGGGAACGATCATTCAGTTCATTCAGACAGTGGAACAGATTGATGTTTCTCTCTGGAGACAGATTCTCACTGATCTTCTTCTTGATGTACTCAACTGTTTTCTGATTGGTCTGTGAGATACTTCCTGTTTGTGTCACCAGACCTTGAAGGAGAGTCTGATTGGTCTGCAGTGAAAGACCCAGGAGGAAGCGGAGGAACAAGTCCAGGTGCCCATTTGGACTCTGTAGGGCCTTGTCCACAGCACTCTGGTACAAATTTGTGAGTTGAGGTTTGCTTCTAAATAGTTTCCTCCATGGGGAGATTGATAGTTCTGACAGCAGATTGACTCCAGAGTTGATGAATGTCAAATGGACATGAAGAGCAGCCAGAAACTCCTGAACACTCAGATGGACGAAGCAGAAGACCTTGTCTTGGTACAGTCCTCTCTCCTCTTTAAAGATCTGTGTGAACACTCCTGAGTACACTGAGGCTGCTTTCATATCGATGCCACACTCTGTCAGGTCTGATTCATAGAAGATCAGGTTGCCTTTCTGCAGCTGCTCAAAAGACAGTTTTCCGAGAGACTCAATCATATTCTTGGTGTTCGGACTCCAGTGTGGATCTGTCTCAGCTCTTCCATCATACTTGACATTCTTCAGTTTGGACTGAACCACCAGAAAGTGGATGTACATCTCAGTCAGAGTCTTGGGCAGTTCTCCTCCTTCTCTGGTCTTCAACACATCCTCCAGAACTGTAGCAGTGATCCAGCAGAAGACTGGGATGTGGCACATGATGTGGAGGCTTTGTGATGTCTTGATGTGGGAGATGATTCTGCTGGCCTGCTCATCATCTCTGTATCTCTTCCTGAAGTATTCCTCCTTCTGTGGGTCAGTGAACCCTCTGACCTCCGTCATGATGTCGACAAATTCACGAGGGATCTGATTGGCTGCTGCAGGTCGTGTGGTTATCCAGAGGCGAGCAGAGGGAAGCAGATTCTTTTTGATGAGGTTTGACAGCAGCACATCCACTGAAGTCAACTCTGCAACATCAAAGTCTGTGTCTTGTTTTTTATTAGTAGAGCAATCCAGTTGAAGGCGGCTCTCATCCAGCCCATCCAAAACAAACAGAAGTTTGAATTTACTTCTGTCATAGTTGGTGTTTCCTGATGACTGCAGAGTTGAAAAGATGTGATTCAGAGCTTCTTCCGTTATATCTTTGGTCTCCCTGATACATTTACGAATGAGCCCTGCCAAACAGAACTTTTCTCCCCTCCATAAATTCAGCTGCCGGAAGGTGAAGGGGAATATTAGATGCACGTCTTCATTGGCTTCTTTTTCAGCCCAGTCTAACACAAACTTGTGCACAATGAACGTTTTTCCTATCCCTGCGATTCCCCTGGTCAGCACTGTTCTTATGGGTCTGTATTCTCCAGAGGGTGGTTTGAATATGTCACTGGGTTTAATTGGTGTCTCTGTTTCTCCTGGCTTCATCACCGCCTCAATCTGTCTGACTTCATGCAGTGTTTTCAAATTAACATCACCACCGGTGGTGATGAACAGCTCTGTGTAGATATCATCCAGACGCTCCTTCTTCTTCATACACCCCTCTTGTGTACAGATGAACTTGTCCTGAAGGTTTGATCGAAGCATGTGTTGGTAATGTGTGATTGTTTGTGGCTTTGGTACCGGAACTATCATGTCTGTGTTGAACACAAATATAAAAACTGTTAAGTATATAAATAGTTGTATATTAATTGATAATCAATTCAATTCAATTTTATTTGTATAGCGCCAATTCATAACAAAAGTTATCTCAGGACACTTTTTAAATAGAGCAGGTCTAGACCAAACTCCTTATAACATTATTTACAGAGACCCAACAGTTCCATCATGAGCAAGCACTTGGTGATGCTGCTATATAGATGCAGAAGCAGTGTACTAAGGCTCCTTTGTGAAGGAATTCGATTTCACACAAACAGGAGTTACAGTACTCTTATCACAGAGAATATGAAGGGGTGATGTTCTGGATCTGTCTGCCCTTCAGCATTTGACTAGGCAGGGTTTTATAGGCTGCTACTTCTAAGTGAATAAAAAATGTTTTCAGTTTAGATGGTAGCATGACAGTTTTGATGGTAGCATGACTATGACTAAAAATGCCAGGTTTGTGCAGGACTGCAGTGTTTTCATGTTACCTTTTAGTATCAGACCAACGTGATACCAAAAAAATAAACCTGCTAACAGTTATTACCCACAATGGAGAACCCAAAAAGACTGAGTGGAGTTGAGTTGAGACAAGCAGTGCCATGTGGTGGAAAAGCCCTTTAAGTCTTTCAGAACATCATTCAGTTTGTTCACCAGGTGAAAGTTGTTAAAGGTGTGGGGGGCTTTAGGTCTGTAGTTGGTTATCTGTCTGAGACCCTTCCAGACAGGACCAGAGTCATTTGCTGTCATTTAGCTTCTCTCTCCACATTGACTAATTTAACATTTGATTCTTAAAACCTGTCCCTGTCCCCACTCCTGAAGGCTTCTTCTTTTTGCAACCATGGGGTTTATCATTGATATAACATGTTGGTACACAGCAGTCCTCACAGAAGCTAATGAATGACGTCACAGCCTCTGTGTAAAAGGTTTGGGAGATATATTAAAATTTTCCAACTGGCCACTGTCAGTTCAAGAATTGGCGATTGCTAATATATTTGCCCATGCCTGTTGAATGTTTAATGTAGAATAGAAAATAAATGTCTACATTAAACAAATGTTAAGAACTGTATCAGATTGAATCTCATCGCATGGATATGAACCGAATCATTTCATATTCAAATGCATTGTCCCTGAATCGTAGTCCATAATCCAGTACCTTCAGTCTGAGGAAAGGCAGCTTCTCCTTGCTCGGACGTTTCTTCAACATCACTGACATCCACTGAAACAGAGAGAAATAATGTGATTATCACAGTTTTTATTTGATTGATGCAATTTGCATCACAATTCACATGCCTCCCTCTCAGACTCAAAACTCTTTCAAATCTAAATACGCAGGTGTCGTACACATACTTCAGAACTCGGCATGGCATTGACTCATCTCTCATGTCCATTGAGGATATTTCCTGTATATAATGTCCCTTTGAATAACCTTAATATTCAATTATAGACATTTTTAAGCACCAAGTAATTGTTGTCTATACTACCATGGAAACCTGAACTTCTGGTAAATATTGTAGCAGGACCTTTCTAGTGCTGATAAGTTTAAACAATATTTAATGAATATATGAAAGTAGGCTCAGGAAATTTGTAAAAAACATTATTGAGGACAACATTCCTGTTACCATTCAGTTAGCAGTATTCTAGCAATAAAGAGTAAGTGTAATGTAATCTGCATGACTTTTAACAAACAAAGGCAGCTGGTGTCTCCTCATTGATGTGCTCTCTGAGTGAAGCCAGGACAAAACAAGTCAAAGTGACGGACTGCTACGGCATCATCTTGTTCATGTTCTTCTCTTCCTGTCACTGACCTTTTGGTTCCAAACTCTGCAGTAGATCATGCCTGTTGATCTTCTTTAAGACCTGCTTGGTCACCTCCACAGCTCCAGGAAGTGTGTAGGTCTGGATCATCAGATCAACTGTCTCCCACGTCTTTGCATTCTCCAGCTTGTTCCTTGGAATGGTTGAGGAGTCTTTCAGTCGTTCATCCATCAGGAACCACTTGAAACACTTAAATGTATCTTCTCCAAGGTCGTCCAGAGTGCTCAAGAGGACCTCCTTTGACATTGTGGCTCCCTGGTGAAATCAGAGAATATTGTTAACCTGCAGGACAGTTTCCTGTCTGTCTGTATTTCTACCATTACAGTTTTTCTAGTGGACCAAGCTTCTGGGTCTGTGAATCGAATTGTCTTAGAAATGTATTCTATCTAACAACCAGTAGGGGGCAGCTCTGATAGTATTGAGTCTAATGGAGTTGTTGTTTTAAGTTGATTTATGAGCTCAGTAAACAGTTTCCAAATTAGTTTATGGTCTCAATCAATTATTTCAGTCTTCTTCCATACAGCATGATGTTCATTTAGTACATTTTGGTCCCATTTAGGGACAGTGAGTCCATCCAGCTCAACGCACCAAACTCAGATCAAACTGTCAAATGAATCAGTGTTGATATGAATCAAGTTACTGCATTGACTATTTCTCTCCTTAAATCTTTTAGTTTATTGTACTGTTTATCTGGAATACAAGAACGTATGTGACCAGGCTAGCCACCATTGTTTCTTACTACAGACGAGCTGAAACCAAGAGCAGCCAATGAGAGCAGCTCATCTTGCAGTACATCATCTCTACTAGCTGCAAAAGCCAGACCATAATGCTGAACTCAAGGCATAAAAACAGGACTCCATGAACCAATGGGTGACGTCCCGATAGGTTCACACTTGATTTCTACTAAATACTGTTGCTGTTTAGACAAAGAACAAGTTTGTTTGAAGGAATAACACATTCCACATGTCTGGAGTGACTGATAAACTCAGGACAATGATAACATGTATAATTCTCATATAATGTGACCAACCTCAGTTCAAGTGTCAGTGTAAAACACATACATAATATAAATTCTGATATTCTGCAATTGAACAGGTATTATAAATATATTCAATACTCACACTGAAAAAGTAGCCGTCTTTTCTGTGACTGAAGTCGATTGTCGATTCTCCTGCAGACTGAGAGAATTGAATCTGTGAAATATTTAAGAGCTTAAAAATATGTGACTGATTGAAGGTACAATAATATTTTGTGTCACGTTAGCCATGAAGTGTGGTTGTGACCTCTGTTGCTCTGCTTACTTTCACACGGGAAAGTGTTTCTTCTTACTGTAAGTTTGAGCTGTTGTTTTCTTATGACGACTATTAATCAGGAACTTCCATCAGGAACTGATTGTGGTTCCTGATGGAAGTTCCTGTTTGCTGCTTATCAGTTCTCATTTTAGGGTCATGATATGTGACTGACACAGCTTCAGTGACCCTTTAATATAATGATGATTAAATATGTTCTGTATAGTGTAAAAGTGTTATTGGAGAGATATCATGTGTCCGTGTGTTGTTTGTCTTACATCTTTAGTCATAAACTGGGTTAACACACAACATAACGTAATTTTAATTTGGTGTGAAGTAATATTTATATATAAAAAATGTATATTCATATTGTATTCATATTTTATCTTTTCTTATGCGTCAAGAAACAGGAAGTTGTTGTAACTTCAACGTACTTTGCATCTGCACCTGAAGACATCTACATGCAAATATTCAGTCATACTCATAGTGCCACCTACTGGAAACTGGAAGAAACCATGTATGGCAAACAAATCTGATATACATATAATGTTTACGGTACACATGATGATGGCCTATGACCCTGGACGAGCCCCCAACTTGTCATAACCTGGCTCCTAGGCTATGACAAATACGGCATAGGACACAATAGATGGCAAGAAATTAGTAAATGTATTATATTAACTAGACAACTGAGGTTATAAGTACAAGTGTGAAGTGTGTCAGTCAGTAACATCAGTAATGTAAATGTGGATGTGTGAGCAATAGGAAGTGTTAATGTTGTAAAGTGAAAACAAAGCAGAAACCAAACAAAGACAATGTGGTACTGCTGCTGGCGGGGAAGCAGCCGAATGCGAGAGAGAGAGAGAGAGAGAGAGAGAGAGAGAGAGAGAGAGAGACCAGAGCAGAGATGAGACAGGGTTTTTATCCTTTTAGGAACGCTTGAACCAGGTGCTCCAAATCCGTACTCTGCTGATGGTACTGAAGGACTGCTGAAGGAAAAACAATAACTGGTCAACCACATAAGCACATCAACACTAGACAGGGACCGTCACAATCGTAGCACACCCCGACAACCAGACTGCGAGGGCGCAATCATCATAATTTGTTTTGTTTATATTTTTACATTATGTATTGTACGTTTACAGTAACTCAGTTTAACTTTCTTCAGGGTATCAGTTGCATTGGTATCAGTTGCATTTCCCTTCACATCATTGATTCGAGCTGTAGAAAGTAGGGATGGGAATCCCCACCACTGAGGCCTATTTGATACACATCTCAATATGCTGCCAGCGATACTATACATTAACGATACAGTGGAGCCCACTGCCGATACGATGCGATGCAATTCACCTCTGTTCATGATGCAATGCGATTCATTAATGATTTGACAACGATTTGACTTTATACAATGTAATTTGGTTCTATACGATTCATGATGCGATTCAAAACAATGCAACACAATACAAAGAATTTACAAGCCCACATCAAGTAGCCACTCCATGTTTCAGATAACAGTATTGGTTGTCTTAAAAGTATACATTTTGTGTTTGAAATCGGGTATAGTATCAGGAAAGGCTGGCACTTCGTTGGGCGTGTCCGGCGATAAAGGTAATTTCCATACTGGCTACCTGTGCCTTCACTTCTAATTCTGATGAGCGCACTGACGATGAAAGCGACTGTATTACACTGGAGAACATCCCTAATCTACAGCTGACCTTAGCCGAAGATGAAGACGAGGATGAATCTCTCGGCCTCGCACCAGAGGAGCTGGAGCGTAAGATATCAGACGCTGTATCTACGGTAACATGTGAAGAGGATAAAGACAGTGAAATGGAGAAAATCCGTAACTTTGACTGCAAATGCTACGGAAGAAGAAAGGAGAACTCTGTCATTGGGACACATTCGTGTAGCGATAAACTTTCTCCAGAGCTTATGTACTGAATACGGTTGGATTCTCTAGCTGCCGAAAGAGAGTGGCAGGACATGCTAATAACTGGACAGCTCGAGGCAAACAGACGCACAGTAGTTACTTCGGACATGACTACATCATCAATTTGAATAATGCTTCCAAATTATCAGAATATCGCTCAATTTGGCAAGATAATCTTAAAACTTATAGAAAGGCCCTCCGTAACACCAGAGGAGCCTATTATTCAGCACTAATAGAAGAAAATAAGAATGACCCTAGGTTCCTCTTCAGCACTGTAGCCAGGCTGACAGAGAGTCACAACTCTATTGAGCCACATATCCCCATAACCTTAAGTAGCAATGACTTCATGAGCTTCTTTTATAATAAAATTATTACTATTAGAGAGAAAATTAATCACCAACTGCCATCAACAGCTATCAGTGGCTCTCCAAGTTCAGGGACTTTTACTAATGTAAACTTAGATATATATTTAGACTGTTTTTCTGCTATCGATCTTCATCAGTTAACTTCAATAATTTCTTCATTGAAGCCATCAACCTGACCCGATCCAAACTAGGCTGCTTAAAGAAGTTGTCCCCTTAATTGGCACTTCTTTACTGGATATGATTAATCTTTCTTTATTATCAGGATATGTACCACAGTCCTTTAAAGTAGCTGTAATTAAACCCCTTCTTAAAAAGCCCACTCTTGACCCAGGGGTTTTAGCCAACTATAGACCGATTTCTAACCTCCCCTTCCTCTCTAAGATTCTGGAGAAAGTAGTCACCAAAGAATTGTGTGACTTTCTACATAACAATAGTTTATTTGAGGATTTTCAGTCAGGATTTAGAGTTCATCACAGCACAGAGACAGCTCTGTTTAAAGTTAATAATGACCTTCTGATTGCTTCTGACAATGGGCTTGTCTCTGTACTTGTATTATTAGATCTTAGTGCTGCATTTGACACCATTGACCATAATATTCTTTTACAGAGACTTGAGCATCAAATTGGCATTAAAGGAACCGCACTAAGCTGGTTTAAGTCATATTTATCAGATCGCTCGCAGTTTGTACATGTTAACGATGAATCTTCAATAAATACTACAGTTAGTCATGGAGTTCCACAAGGTTCTGTACTTGGACCAATACTATTTACTTTATATATGCTCCCTTTAGGCAACATTATTAGGAATCACTCCATTAACTTTCACTGTTATGCAGATGATACGCAGTTATATCTATCAATCAAGCCCGATGAAATTAATCAATTATCTAAATTACAAACATGTCTTAAGGACATAAAATCCTGGATGACCTGCAATTTCCTGATGTTAAACTCAGAAAAAAATGAAATTCTTGTTCTTGGCCCCAAACACCATAGACACTCACTGTCTAAAGATATAGTTACTCTAGATGGCATTAACTTGGCCTTTAGCACCACTGTCAGGAATCTTGGAGTTATCTTTGATCAGGATTTGTCATTTAATTCCCACATAAAGCAGACCTCTAGGACTGCCTTCTTTCATTTACGTAATATTACAAAAATTAGACACATCCTATTACAGACAGATGCAGAAAAACTAATCCATGCATTTGTTACTTCAAGCCTGGATTACTGCAATTCTTTATCAGGTTGCCTCAATAAGTCCATTAATACAATCCAATTAATTCAGAACGCTGCAGCACGAGTACTGACAGGAACTAGAAAAAGAGATCACATCTCTCCTGTACTAGCTTCTCTGCACTGGCTCCCTGTAAAATGTAGAATAGAATTTAAAATCCTCCTCCTCACCTATAAAGCTCTTCATGGTCAGGCCCCTTCATATCTTAAAGAGCTCATAGTACCCTATTACCCCTCTAGAACACTACGTTCTCTGAATGCTGGGCTACTTGTGGTTCCTATAGTCTCTAAAACTAGCCTACTTGAGGAACAGTTTGGATGAATACATCCAGAATAAGGTGCCAAGGTGCCTGTTAGCATTGCTTGAATTGACTGTGATGCTAATGCTTTAGGTGAGAATTGCAAATGTTCTAGGGCTGTTTTCTCCCTAAAGGGTTTTGTGATGTGCATGTGTATTGTATGATCATTGTTTGTTAGTTTATAGTTTAAAGTCCGTTTAGTGTTTTTGTGTGTTTTTTCGTGTCTCATGGCGAGCACCTGTGTCACTGAGACAGGGAGAGGCTGGTGCCACCACACGGCTCCACCGTAGAGCAGGTGTTGCTGGCTGTGGGAGAGCAGATAGGCCACGGAAACATCGTTTATGCCTCCCGCATGAATAAAGCGTTCGTGGTGTTTTTGAAAAACCAAAGCTGTGTAAGTGAACTCATCGAGAGAGGTTTAATTTTAGATGAGGAGTTCATTCCAATTTCCCCACTGGCTGTGTCCTCTACCCGGATAACTGTGTCTGGCGTTCCTCCTTTCATCCCGAACGAAGCGCTGGAACGAGAGCTGAAACGGTTCGGTAAGTTTGCGAGTGGTTTCCGCACTGTTGCTTTGGGATGCAAAGATGTAAAATTAAAGCATGTTCAGTCTCTGCGGAGACAAGTTTTTATGTTTCTGAACTCGTCAACTCAGACACTGGATGTGTCTTTCCGTGTTTGACACGAGGAGAGTTTTTACATGGTGTACGCGAGCTCTGGGAGCATGAAGTGTTTTGAGTCTGGTGATGTGGGCCATAAACGTATTGCATGTCTGCACAGACAGCACACAACGGGACCCGCTCCGCCTGCGAGTGCGTCAGCGGTGGCCGCCTCCGCGCATGGAGCCACCGCGGTTGATGCACAGCCGAGTGTTTTGAGAGATGAAGCAGGGAAGGAGAGTGTAAATGTTGTGAGTGTAGAGAAGGAAAGTGGGGGGGGAAGTGAGTAGGGCTGAACAGGCTGGGGCTACTACACCTGGGGAGGTGGAGGCTGGTGAAGCAGGACAGGGAGAGGTAGGTACAACAGGACAGGTGGAGGCAGGTGTAGCAGGACAGGGGGA